ATTTTGTTTTGGAAAAAATACACATTTGAAAAAAGTAATAATAACAACTTATTTTATTTTAATTATTTTAATTTTTTAAAAATATCCTTTATTACAGAAATAAAATAAAACTAAACATTGAATTAAATTAATTTAAGAAAATAAACGTAAACGTTAAATATATATACTGTCAGTTGGGTCTTTTTTGCAAAAAGGAGTCCATTGAAAATATCAAATTACAAAATAATGAATGATTTATAAATTTAAATTACTTACAAAATTATAGTTTTATAAATCGAAGTGTCAAATAAAACGAAAGACATGTATTAACAGCACCGAATATGTTTTTTTGCGGCCCGGTAGAATATTCTTAGTAAATTAAAATAAAACGAATAATTATTATAATCATAATATTATGATTATAATCAGCGTCGGAAATTCACTTTTTTCTCCATATCAGTGTACGGATATCCGTAAAAATTTGGATCTTTTTTGAAAAATTGACTTTTGCATAATAACAATTAACAATTAATTATTAACAAATTAAATGTTTTTTAACGTGTTTGAAAAATTCAAATAACGTAAATAAAATTAAATTTTTATACTTAAAAACTACTTGACAATTTTTTTTTGTTCTTTTTTATACTTGAAATAAGCCCCCCATAGCGGAACAGAATATTGGTCAATACTATTTCAAAATATTATGATTATTTAAAACACAATTTAATTACTAGGCAATGGTACCTTTTGATGGACCAAATTTATTGAGTATTCTTGAATATTTATATAACACAGTGCAACATTTTTGAGGTCATGGAATGTAAACACCGTTTTGAGTGGTGTTCTTCAAAGTACTTTATAACAGTAGCAAAACCCCAGTTGGGTTTTGCTAGTTTGTTTCCAATAAGGATTTTATTGCATTTTGAAAATTTTGACTTAGGCTTGTGTATGTTGTAGGATATATTGGCCTATTGATAACCGATTTTAATATATATTTTTTAATTTGTAGGGTTTTTGTTAGGGATGATCCCATAAAAATTATATGAAAAAATACCACCCCTAAGGATGAAAAATTGGGGATTAAACTACAAATAGGTCTGTTTTGAAGCTATGATACGAGATATCTTCGCCAACTGTGAACTGTTTTTTTTTTAATTCTTTTAATAATGTGTAGGGTATATAAATTTATTGAAAAAAATCCACCCCTAAGTATGAAAAAAATGGAAATTTATTTTTATATTGGCATTTCATCAACTTCCCGTTTTGAAAATTGTTTCTTGGATTAAAAAACATATACCAAGGGTTGTCCCATTCTCACTAAGTCAAGATGACATGGTGTTGTGGTTTTGGAAGCTTAATGTAGGAAGAGTTTTGTTTTTAAATTAATTTTAAATCAAATAAAATACTTATTCTTATAAAAAATGTGAAAAAAATATTCAAAAATGTGTTACATTATAATCTAACTAGGTATAATTAATCAATATCCATTGCCATTGACGCCTCTAAAGATCTCGAGCATCCGGGAAGATTCAGGGGCATATCTCTATTAGCGTCTCCATATTTAGTCTCCTCAGGATATTCAGTGTTTTCATATTGAAATATTTTTTGACTCCACCAACATACTTCCGCAAGCAATGCATCCAGCTTTTTTCCCCTGTATCGTTTTTCCATTGGTATGGATACCTGATGGAAGCGCTCTCCTTGTTCATCCGATTCAGTGGGCAATTGTTGTAAAAATTCATCTAGGTGAAAATGGAGGAAATGCAATTTTAATGTCATGGATACATTAATTTTTTGAAAATAATAGAGCATTTGGCCCACCAATTTCTTCACTTCGTCTCGCTGCACACGATTCTTCCCCAAAACGCCCTCGATTACAGCTTTTAGTGCATCCCAAGCATTCACACCTGTTAAAAATTGTATTCACAATTAGAATCAAGCGAAGTTGATATAGTTGGGCCGATAGGACATGGCCGATACGTCATCACGGTATTACTCAAGTTCAGACGAATGACATTTTAGAATTTAACCTCAATACGACAAGATGAAAAACAAATGCAAATGTCCGAACTTAAGTCATACCGTGATGACGTATCGGCCATGTTCTATCGGCACAACTATATAAAAATGTTATAATAATTATAATTATTATTTATAAATAACAGTTACCATGTTTAATTTTGTCGTTGCTAAGTTTTGGAAATATGGTTTTCAAACAGTCAAACACTTCATCATCATCCTTAACAGCCACTTCGATGAATTTTTTAACAATGCCCAATTTAATGTGAAGCGGAGGCAGTAATATGTCATTAATGTCCTTTATTAAAGGATCATTAACCAATTTTATTTGTGGTTTGTTTTCGGGAGTTCTTCTAACCCAATCCTTACAATGATATTGGTCCACTTTGCTTCGTGAATCCCAATTACAAAGAAAACAAAAGTATTTAGGAAAACCACCCTTTGTTATAATACCTCGTAATATGTTGACAACTTTTAAATCACAGCATATTTTCCATTTATGATCATTATAGTTGATTTTCTTTAATATATTGTTCAATGTATCATAAGACTCCTTCATATTTGTACCCAATGCTAAGGGAATAGACGGTTTTTGGTTTGTTTTGTGCAACAGCACAGCTTTCAAACTTGAAACGGACCCATCAATGAATAAGCGCCAATCTCTAGCAACGTACTCAATTCCCAAATTATTCGCCAAAGTTTTGATGTTATTGCAGTAAGTGAATGTATTTGTGGTATCACTGGTATATAATTTCTGAAACTCACTTTCGCGTTTCCTATATGCACTGATGCTTACATTCTGCTCTGTGAGTTTCCTATGCTTCAAGTATGAGGTCAAAAATTCAGAATTTCGCTGTGATAAATTCATCTTAGCCACAATGTAGTCCATTTCTTTTTATGTAAGCGGTTTTCGTTCTTCGTCTTCGGAATTGTCTATATAATTTGCATCTTGCAAATTGGTTCCATCGGCAAAAACGCTATCGCCTATCAATTGGGACAAAACATCGGGGCTTGGAGCTTTGGGTGGTTCTACATCTTCAAGGAGTGGCAGTGGAAGTGTGCCAGTAAAAGCGGCAACATATTTTTTTAATTTCGATTTTGTCCTGTTAATTCGAGGGACAAAATAAATACATGCGTAGCACCTGGATGTATCATGACCGTTTGGGTCTTTTATCCAGATCACCGGCTTAGAAAAAGGCATATTCCTTCTTCGTCGATGTAACCAATGCATCAAATTGATATAGCAGTTATTGCATACTGTATTTGGCGTAAAATCTTCAACACTCGAATCCGCTTCGTCAAAATATAAAGTGTATGCTTTTTTAAATTCTTCAGTGAAGAAATTTTTTCGATCTTTCTGCTGCAATTTAGGCACTAAATGACCACACACGTAACAAAATGCATTTAATTTTGGACACTTGCTATTTTCCATAATAACTTGTTCACTTAAAATCACTTATCTGAGCTACAGGGAATTTGTATCGCACGACGCTAATAGCAACAAAACGTGAATGATTAAAGTATGCTGTTTTTTGGGTTAATTTCTTATGTACTTTTTTTCTTCTATAGACTATAGTCGATAAATACTATTCCGCTACAGAGAGAGAAACAATACACAGTTAATGCGAAAACATTAACTGATTTCAAAAAATATTAAATATATTTATAGATATTTAAAAGGGAAAAATAATTATTAGGTAATACGTTAAAACCTTTCCAAACTTTATGCCGCATTTATAGATTTTATAATATTATGTCTTTTGATGTGTTGAACAGACCTAACAGATTTGAATGTCTCTAATATATAAATAATTATTGTTAATTTTTGCATCTAATATATTTTATAAAGTCAGTTTTTTTAGTAAAACTTATTTTCACATTTTACTGTAAATTTTCCTACATTCGGCTTCCAAAACCGCCCCATCATGTCATCTTGAGAATGAGACAACCCATGGAATATACCTTTTAAACCAAGAAACAATTTTCAAAACGGGAAGTTGATAAAATGCGAATATAAAAATTAATTTCAATTTTTTTTCATACTTAGGGGTGGATTTTTTTCAATAAATTTATATACCCTACACATTATTAAAAGAATTAAAAAAAAACAGTTCACAGTTGGCGAAGATATCTCGTATCATAGCTTCAAAAGAGACCTTTTTGTAGTTTAATCGCCAATTTTTCACCCTTAGGGGTGGTATTTTTTCATATAATTTTTATGGAATCATCCCTAACAAAAACCCTACAAATTAAAAAAATATATATTAAAATCGGTTATCAATAGGCCAAGATATCCTACAACATACACAAGCCTAAGTCAAAATTTTCAAAATGCAATAAAATCCTTATTGGAAACAAACTAGCAAAACCCAACTGGGGTTTTGCTACTGTTATAAAGTACTTTGAAGAACACCACTCAAAACGGTGTTTACATTTTTAGTGTTGCACTGTGTAATATAAACAGAGTGTACCTAGTGTCCAGGATTTTTAATACTTGAAATTAAAATTGTTGTTGGTAAAATGTTCCAATTATTTAAACTTTAAATTTTTAAGAAAAAGCAATAAAACTAAGATGCGGTGTTGCCAGTTAAAAAATATAATTTTTAATGAAAAAATGATGTTAGCATGTTTTTCGAAATTTATCACATAAAAAGCATATAATTAATATTGTTAAAACCATTTATCAGGAGGGTTAAATGCGTTTTATATTTAAATTAAGATCCACATTAATTTACCAGATTTTCCAAAATGTTTTTTAATCCAATTTAATAGTTAGGTACTCAGTTTAGGTCGCGGCGCAATAACCACTCGCAGCGAGCATTAAGCTCGCATTTTACAATTGTTAACTTTAACTTGCTGCAGATGCCTGGTTTAATTTGTTTCCTTAATAAATGTTTTTAGATGTTTGATATTTTAGCGTTGCTAGTTTTGTCAAACTTAAATGCTTAATTAATCAATAATTCCATGGGTAATTTTTACTAAATTTTTTTGTACTTTCATAGGAAATGTTAAGCAACAAAAGCGCCATTCCGTTTCACAAAAATCTATGTCCAAGCTGCCATAATATACCAAAGGCGAAGGAGTGGCAAAATACAGAGGAGACTGAGGGTTTACATGTGTTTCACGTAGGCAAAAGAAATGGCAAATATATTCATTGGGAACCGATATTTATCGGAACACACAACGATCCGCTCTATGATGAGCGACTTAGTTGGGAAGGAAAAAGCGACAAAATGACTCAGGTAAAAAAACTAATATAAATTATTGTGTGCAAAATATAACCAAGAATATCGATAAAAGTCTTCCCATTTAAAACATTTACGATTAGAAAGTGAAACGGCGTGCCATAGATTATTATTGGTCTCTTATACGCGAAACAGGTTCAAATAATTATTAACGATGCACAGGCAGGTATTTTGAGCTAAAACTTGGCCAAAACTCAATTTTGTTAATTTTTATTACTAGATCTAAGATTTCGTCTCAAAGCAAATAGATAACATGACCACAATCCACACAACAAGGTCTATAAAATAACCTTAAATTAACCTTCAAATTGACATTTGACAGCCATGATAGAATAAGGTTTATTTTTTACAAAAGAGGAGTAAAATGATTGTTCTTATCACTTTGAGGTCTCTTTTAAGGCTTGCAAGTCTCTCTGTAAGAAACACAACGTTTAAAACGATTATTAATCTGTACAAACCCAAAGCACAAGAATTGTAAACAACAAAAATGGACGCCATCGTATGATGTGCAGTGTTGAGGTGATTTTTAGTATTTTTACTATGAGATCGAACAGACCTTGTTGTGTGGATTGTGAACATGACTATCTATTGGTGTAGTTTCTACCTATTGGCCATCCCAGTCCACGGTACCAACAGCTAGAATTTAGCGCTCAACAAAAACACAAATTTTTGCTGTGTTGTTTCTTATGTTTAAAGTGATGTTGTTGAAAAAAGTTGATATGGATATCGTCAATCAAGGTATGTACAATATTTTGAGCAACATTTTATTTCTGTTGTAAACTTTATTGATTTATATCGAGTACTATATCCAACTAACTAATATATTAAAATATTCTCATTTTTTTAAACAAACATTGGTATTTTTAAATATATGCAACACCCCTTGCGAAAAAAATGCCTAAATTTTGGGCATTAATGCCTAACTTTTAGGCATTAATGCCTAAAAAAGTTAGACATGATTTTGAGTACCTAACTTAGGCATTATCCTTAACTTGGGAATAATGCCTAACTTAGGCATTATGCTTAACTTGGGAATAATGCCTAACTTCGGCATTATGCTTAACTTGAGAATAATGCCTAACTTAGGCATTATGCTGAACTTGGGAATAATGCCGAACTTAGGCATTATGCCTAATCGATTCATTTAATAAAAGGGGTGTATTTTTGTATGTCGGTATATTTATTTAAAAAAAATGAGTAGCCAAGCGCTTTCGTCATTTAATCTAATGACATCATCCGGGCTAGCCCTAAAAAGTAAGTAAACATTAGTTTCAATAGGTGCACCTATGGGTTAAAATTTTTTACTTACTTGTCAAGGCGAGCTTACATTTAATGTGATGTCCGAAGGAGGATGAGCTTGGTCTTTGAATATGTTCTTTTACTTATTACATATGAGACAAAAAAGTAGCATCTACCAGTCATATATATGCCCAAAATAGGTATTTAATCTCAACACATTGAATCACTGAATTCACATACCAAATTTTTGAGCAATTAATCCTAACTCTTTGGCGAGGGGTAAACCACTGATTTTTTTAAATTAAAAATTGCTTACGAATTAACGGCTAAGGATAACAATAACAAGGGTAGTCATGTACAACGCGTCGCTAAGCACTGATTAAGCACCGATTAAGCAAGTTTTCCTTATTGATAACGACTGATAAGGAAAAAATCTCAACACAACGTCCACTAACATTGAATGTTGGTCTCTAAGATTTTAAAGTGGTTTACCCCTCGCTCTTTGGCATTTATGCTAAATTATTGGGCATTAATACCCAAGTTAGGCGTTCAATCCTAACTCTTAGGCATTTATGCTGAACTGTTGGGCATAAATGCCCAAGTTAGGCATTCAATCCTAACTCTTAGGCATTTATGCTGAACTGTTGGGCATAAATGCCCAAGTTAGGCATTCAATCCTAACTCGTAGGCATTTATGCTAAATTATCGGGCATTAATACCCAAGTTAGGCATTCAATCCTAACTCTTAGGCATTTATGCTGAACTGGTGGGCATAAATGCCCAAGTTAGGCATTCAATCCTAACTCTTAGGCATTTATGCTGAACAGTTAGGCATAAATGCCCAAGTTAGGCATTCAATCCTATCTCGTAGGCATTTATGCTTAACAGTTCGGCATAAATGCCCAAGTTAGGCATTCAATCCTAACTGTTAGGCATTTATGCTTAACTGTTGGGCATAAATGCCCAAGTTAGGCATATATGCTTAACTTTTTAGCATTAATTCCTAATTCTTGGCATTTATGCCTAAGTTAGGCATTAATGCCCAAAATTTAGGCATTTTTTTCGCAAGGGACCTTGCAACGGCATTCCACCCACGTTTTATTAAACTTCAGGACATCTATAATAACTGTATCCATTAAAAAAACCTCAAAAGTTTTCACATCACGGAAAAATTTACCCTTGAAAACAGACACATTAGTGCGATCTTATATAATATAATAAGATTTTTAGGTAGATGAATATATTTTTTAAAGGGCAGACAAAATTTAATAAATGCTCAATTTTAATATTTTTATTGTATTACTTGCATGTGAGTAGCTACTTTGTAATTTTTTTATAAATAAATTTTTAAATAAATATATTTTTTTATTTCTAGTAATAATACCTACTATCACTTGTAGGTATACCTACTCTTAGAAATATGTTTTTTAGTCATTTGCTACCCTTTTGATACAGAAAAAGTGCCAAAATATTTTTTGCCACGTTTTAGGTCAAAATACATGTTTGCGACAAAGTGCAGTTATGTTTAGGAATTTTTCCAATATAAAGTCGAAAATTGCTAAAAATAATTATCTAAAAAACCTGACCTGATAAAGGAAAACAGACTGCTGATTTGTGATTGAAGACTTGAATACTTAATATTGTAGTACTTTGCATATGCAATATTTCAATTCATTTTAACATAAAAACCGTGTTTAAATATTCTATGAATTTATTTCAGGGTTATGCATTGTGTGTAATGGATTACGATTTTCTTATACTGGACAACGCGTTTTTAGTCCACAAGCCTGGCATAAAACTATACAAAAAGGATTCTAGAAGAGCCACGCTTGCTGCCAAAACAAATCAGCTTATAAAAAAAATTATTTTCCCTGAACTAAAAGTTTTGTATGGCATTAGGAAAGGCTGTGCTGTTTAAGTTTTAATACTGTAGTATTTTTTTATAAATTTATGAGGAAATTGTCGCTTGACCACTAAATAATTACTATGCACACCAAATATTTGGTGCAATGACGCTTTTGGATGCCTTTATTTTTTATTTCCTATAATCTAAATTTAAATAACCTAGATTACAAAGGAAATAATATTTGTATGTAATGTATCCAATTTATTATTATTTTTATAATTTTGATTCTGAATAACAAAAAAAAGATTTTATTAAGGTATTACTTTCACTAAAAAGACAAATTTGCATTATACCCAGTGTTCTAAAGTTAAAGTTACAACACTTTTGATAAAACAACTATTGATTTGAGTCTCTGTTTTTATTTTAAAGGAAATTTTTTATTAATCCCTTATACCCTTGTTGTAAAACTTTAAGTACTTTGTAAATACATTTTATGAATATTTTTTATGTGATAAATTAATATTCTAATTTTAAAAACTGAAGTCATTTTTTCTCAAATACAATAAAGGTTGTCCTTTTTGTAAAAATATGTGATTTTAACTGTTATACTTTGTGGTTTACAAAAATACTAATTTATTATTTAAATAAAAGTATGCATTTATAAAAAAGAGATTAAATCTCATTTTTTATTTAAATTTTAAATAATGATCTATTCTTGTCAAAACTTGAAACCATTAATTTTAAGTTATATACCTACTTGTATTTAAAAATACTATTAATTTAATTAGTTTTACTGAAATATGGTTAATATTGTATAGTACAAAAACTAATTTATTCTAATTGATTAAAATAAATTTGTTTGCCTTTTGCTTAGAATTTTGGTTATATAAATTTTAAATGTGCTTAGTTTTTGATCTCTTTTTGAGTCTCCCTTTAAAAACGGATAAATGATATTTACTTAATATTACGTTATACTATACTGTATATTACTATTATTACTGTACAGGGAACTAGGGCGATTTCTGAAGCAATTTTTAATTTAAAAATGACAACAAAATAAAATATTAATAATGATTATGTATTAAACCAACATGCAATATATACATTTTTACTCATTTTCCAGGATAAATAGAAATAACCTAGGAAAATCTCATTTGCCTAAAATATTCATTTTCGTAGTAATTTTTACCATACACACAAAGCTTCAGAAGCCATCTGATTTTCTTGGATACCCTGTATTTGACTGTTAAAAAGTATATTTATTTTAAACCTCATATTGTACATACTTGTTTAGTGTCTACAAATGAGTTAAAAATTGTGTAATAGATATAGGTTAATGTAGGTGTAATATTTATTCTAATATTAATTTTTGCTATTTTAGCATTAATTGTGCCTTACCCAGTCTGATAAACGTATATAACAATACTTTTGTACAACTATATGAAAACTGAATAAAAGCAATGTACTTAAAACTATGTTTATTTAACAAATCCTTATTCTTTAAAAAACGTCCACTAAAATCAACGAAAAGTGAAAACCCTTACAGGACAGATGAAGGCTTTCTTTGATAAATTATTAGAATATTAAAGTATTATCATTAAGAAATCCTCAATTAACAGTATTATTATAACTGATATACAAGGTGTCCCTAAACTTACCCTGTTAAAAATCACCCATAGAGACCAATAGAAACCAATAAAAAATCAGAATGGAATGAATTGGTCTTTATTGGGCCTATTGGTTTCTTAACAGAATGAGCATTGGTTTCTATTGGTAATTTCCGTACTGGAAAATGCCAATAGATTACCTAATGGTCTGAATTGGTTTTTATAAGAAGTTACAAGTACAGGAAATTCCCAATTGAAATTCAATTGGTAAATACCACTTAAATGTTCAGCGCCTGCGCAATTTAATACAAATGACCACTTGTTTCTATTGTCAATTTTCTTACTGGAAAATACCAATAGATAAACTTATGGTCTGAATTGGTATTTTATCGGTGTGTAGGTACAAGGAACCCTATTGGTATATACCACTTTAATATTTATTTTCAAAATTCGCCAATAGGTAGGCAACCCATGCATACCTCTCGCCTCTGTAGCACAATACATAGGCCTATAAAGGTGGAATGCCTTGAGCTGCTAAGTAAGGATTCTTTACTAAGGCAAAATTACTGGCCATGGAAACGCTTGGCGTTTTGGAATTTTTAAAGGGGCACAGGTCGTCCTGTGGCCAGGGGTGTGATTTTTAGTACAATTGTACTTTTCTAGTACAAAACAATAGCTTCTAGTACGTCAGCACCTCTTCGGCAATTCTAGTACAATTTTCAAAATTGCCTTCAATTAGAAAAAAATAATAAATAGATCGTTCTCGATCGAATCTCAAAATTGGGACAAAATTTCTAGCAACTTTTTTACTGTGGCTAACTGAGCCTACGTTACGGAGGGAATCATAGAGAAAGTTTCACTATAGAGGCAATAAGATATTATTATATAATCTTCTTAGGAGGATTTATGGCGCAAGGCGTCAAATGTCAACGTCAAAACTCAAACGTCAAGTCATCACTAACCTAACCTATAAATCCTGTTGCTGACGCCGACAGGCTGTCGGCGTCGGCACTCTGTGAATCTGTGCACATCATAATGTGATAGTGGATGTAATGTACAGGTTAGTATTTTTAGCTGTTTATTAATTATCTTCTGAACTTTCTAAATAATTACACAACTAAACTCAGTTTGTAGATTTTTCATAAGAAAAACCAAAGCGCTAGTAGTTTATTTATTATAATTTTACGTATGCAAGGGTGATTCTGGGAGCAGAAATCTGATATTAATTAAATTTGGACAAGTTTTGAATTTTCGAGATAAGTTAGTACAATTTGATCTTAGTTAGTACAATTTCACGCTAGATGGCTGCACAAGTTTCAGGAACACCCCTGCCTGTGGCCCACTGCGAAAAGTAAGCAGTGGGCCCCACTACTTACTTACTTTTAGCAGAAGCTATTTATAAAATTTAAATTAAATGTTAAACAGCACTATTTTTGAGAAATTATTTAACCATCAAAACACGTAATTTTTTACCTTAAAGGCGTCTAAAACTTCAATTATTTTTAATGTGACGGTCAAGGCAAAAAGTCTCGAGGCTCATGGACAGTGGCGGCGCCAGGGGTGGGCGCGGTTGGGCGAGCGCCCAACCCAAATTGTTCCCGCTCAACCGCTCGCCCAACCTGCTTAACTAAACATTTGAGCAAAAAATAGATATAGAGAAAAGTAGTTTTTTAGATTGCTTTCAATATTATATCTAACTAACCGTTCCAATTAATGATTCAATCAACGTGTTTCAGGAATCACGAATTACAATAAACGTCCAAAAACGTACGCCTCGTGAGACCGACGCGGCCTCTGTGGGGAATAACCTATCTCAGGCTGAGATTCTCAGCTTGTGAAATACGTTTGGCCAATATACATACACCTTAAGATAGGATGGTGCGCATGTTGGGCGGGGCTTAAATACGTCACTTAATGAGTGTTTTTTAATTATCTGCTGCTAAAATTCTTGTTTTTGCGATGCTTTTGGATGTTATAAGTTGCTTGCTCTATTTTTTGTTTAACTTGTTGTTTTTGTGTTCGGTAAGGTTCGAATTTTTTTTCAGTGTTCAAATTATTGTTATTGCGTTGTGTTAACCTGTTCTGTTTGTTTATTATTGTTTTTGTGTTGCGTTAACTTGTTTTGTTTGTGTTTTAGTTTGTATCGTGCCATTTGAATTTATTAAAATGCGGTGTGGCATATTTGAATGCAATTCGGACAACCAGTCTAAGAAAAACCCTTTAAATAAAAACATTAAGTTTTATCGATTCCCGAAAAAGTTTGATTTGTGGAAGCAGTGTTATATAATCATACGTTTCCGTGTAAAATAAATTTTGAAATAATTTCTGTGTTTTTTTTTCGTTTTAGTTTCTATTTCACATTTATTCACAAATCCGCAAAATATCTATAATTAGTGGGTACATTATACAATTTATACATATTATCTGAAACATTACCTAGATACCTAAACATATTTTTGCTGCCCACAATTCAAACTTTTCTGCCGGGTGTCGCCCAAGCTTAGTTATGGTTATAATACCTGTTGTCTTAAAACACTTTAACAATGGTTATTCAATCTATAAACATATTCAAAACTATTAACTACAGTTATTTAAGAAATATCATTATTACTGTTAAACAGTTTAATTATTATCACCAATTGGTGATTAATGTGCCATTTTTTTAACGTTTATTTAAAGTCTTTTTTATGTGTTCTTTTTGCGGTTCGTTTTAACGTTTTATATACGTGTTTCATCGAGTTAAATTAGTATAATTTATAAAACGGTTTCATTTTCCCATATTATTAACGTTTTTTTAAGCATCTTATAAATCGAAAAATTTACTGTTCCATTTAACGTTAAAATAACGTCACTGGTTAAGTAAATTTTTACCACTTTAAAAAACGTTTCTATTTTTCCCAATTTTTAACGTTTCTTTTAGCATATTATAGATCGAAAAATTGACTGTTTCATTTAAGGTTAAAATTACGTCAATGGTTAAGTATATTTTAACCCCTTAAAAACGTTTCTATTTTTCCCAATTTTTAACGTTTTTTTGGCATCTTATAGATCGAAAAATTGACTGTTTCATTTAACGTTAAAATTACGTCAGTGGTTTACATTTTAACCCATTTAAAAAACGTTTTTTAGCATCTTATAGGAAAATTGAGTGTCCCATTTAACGTTAAATGGGACACTCAATCATAAATTGATAGTAATTTTTTCAATTTTCAAAATAAATAAATTTTATTGTTAGTTCAGAATCTCAACTTCAGATGGACGCAGTAATGTTTGGGTTCGACCAACCCAAGAACGCAGTGAGCAACAGGTGATCTGCACAGCCAATAGTATTGATCTACTGTTGCGAGTGAACACGATCTTTACCGGGTTGTCGCGAACTCGCCAACGTTCTTGTGCTTGGTGACGTCGAAAATGGCGATTATCTGTCTTTCATGGTTGCTTTGTGTGTGCTAGCAGCTGTTGAAAACGTTTTTAAAAACTGTATTTAGTATTGTTATTTGCATTATTTAATTAATGCCCTTTTTTGGTTTAATGCAGGTGAGTACTTACCCAGCAAGCACAAACATCCTCAGGACGTCCTTGGACCAGCCTAAATGTCCCAGAATGGGATGATCCTATAAGGACTTCCTGAGGACGTCCATAGGTTGACCTTATCGGACATTAGATCTTTTTTAGGTCCCATTTTGGGATATCCTAGGAACGTCATTTAAGGATGTCGTTAGGACCTAATAATATCCTAATTAAAGCCTAAAATGGGCTGATCATAGGACTAATCCCAGAGACATCCTCAGAATGTCCCGTTAGGTTTTGGTAAACATTTGGTATGCACATTTTTCTATAAGAATATGTTATCCATATAATTAATAATACCTACATTTTTTACATAACTTATTTTGCATATATGCCTATAGGCACATCTTAAAAATGTCAATCAATATAATTATGATATTATATATAATATTATATAGATTTTT